TCGCACTAGCACCACTAGAAGGGCTGATAAATCGAGATCGTGACTTTATTGAAGCTTATTTACAGAAAGAGGGCTTATCTCCAGAACAAATTGATAGCTTACGGAAAAGGAAGTTTGTATTTATTTTAGATGGTTATGATGAGATTGCTGAACGGGAACGTAATTGCTATAACTGCAATATGTTCTCTAAATGGAAAAACGCGAAGATTATCATCAGTTGCCGACCAGAGTACTTAGGCGAAGGTTATGAAAAGAAGTTCTGGCCTAAAGAAAACGAAAGAAAAGGGTTTCAGGAATTGACAATTACCCCATTTTCGCAGGTTGAAATAGAACAGTATATCAACAATTATGTTGATTATTGCCAGAAGAATGGTAAACGATTAGTGTGGAGCGCAGACGAATATATACAACAAATAAAGAACATGCCACAAGTACAAGGTCTTGCGTCTAATCCTATTCTATTAAAAATTACTTTAAATGTTTTACCAAAAATTATCAAAGAAAAAGAAACCTATCAGATAAATCGTATAGTTTTGTATGATGAATTTATTAAGGAATGGTTTGAACGTGCTCAGACTCGCCTGTCAAAAATTCAATTAAAGCCTAAAGAAAAAGAGAAATTTAGCCTCTTGGATGAGGAAGGTTTTTCTAAACATTGTCTACGATTTGGTAAACAATTTGCTGCTAAGATGTTTGAGGACAATAACAAAGTAGTTGTAAATTATGAGGAGGTGGATGAGGATGAGGACACATCCGATTTGGCGAAATTTTTAGGAAATGCAAATGAGAAGCATCGTTTGATGCGCTTCAGCATGCCATTAATTCGACGTGGAGATCAATATTGGTTTTTCCATAAATCATTGCGAGATTACTTGATTGCTTGTGAGTTGATAGATTCATCTAAAAATACGTCAGAAACAACACTCTTCAACAAACAGTCGATTATGCCAGAACCTGCAATTCAAGACTTTTTGGTTGAACGAATTCAACAAAAGTCAGAACTCAAACAACAGATGTTAAATTTTATCGAATGTTCGAAAAAGAATGCAAACATTCAAATTGCATCCGTTAATGCCATTACAGTTCTTATGCGTGCCAAAATAAAACTTCCGATGAATTTAAACAATATTCGTGTCCCAGGGGCGGATTTGAGCAATGGAGTTTTTAATAATTCACAACTAGTAAGAGCTAATTTAAACAATGTAAATTTTCAAAATGCAAAACTTCGAAATGTGAATCTCGAGGGTGCGTCCCTTCAAAATGTGAATCTCAAGGGTGCAGATCTCACTGGTGCAAATCTTCGGTATTCAAATCTTCAAGGTGCTGATTTTCATGATTCTTACCTCAAAAATGTAAATTTTGAAGGCGTAAATCTCCGAGTTCAGGATTTCCGAGGATTTGACCTCCGAAATACAGATTTCTGTGGTACATATTTCTAATGTACGAATTTTCTGGACGCTGTGAAAATCACTGCTATTCGATTTTTTTTTTTATAAATTTTTAATCGTTGAAAGTAGCGTTAAAATAGCATAAGTTTACACAATTGCAATAAAATGTAAATAGATAAAATTTGTTAAATTATTTTATATATAACAAACATGTATATAAGCAACTAAAGCTTACTTTCAATAAAGAACAACATTGTAAAGTTTTCGCTTTACCAATCCTCCCCCGACTAGTCTATATTGGAGAGCTCGTGACGTAGAGTTCTAATAGCCCTAGTTACTGTTATACCTGAAACTACTTCTTATAAGTTCGGTATAACTAATTTACTTTAGCGACGGATATGTTAGACGTTTGATAACAATGCCGTGTTTATGTTTAAGCAAAATATAAGGTTTATTGCAGTTACGCTTTAAGAGATTATGTGATTTGCAATTACGAAAGAGGCAAACGGCTAAATGTATATGGAGATACAAATAATCGTGTAAACAAGTTTATGATTTATTCAATAAAGTACTCGAGTTATTCGTGTATGAAGACACGATTACTCTATATTTATTGTTGAGTTGTTGACTTGAGAGAGATCAAGGCTTTTTATACATTTTATAGCATTATGATTTCTTGCTATCATATCTTCTAGTCATACTATATCTAATATTTCTACTATATCTAAGGCGACTTGAAATTAAAACCTCGTTTAACGTTATTTTTTTTCGTATTTATAAAGGGGGGGAGGGATGAAAATT